CCCGGGGCACATGTACTTTCAGCAGCCAGCGGCACTCGCTTACGCCGCAGTGTACCCGAGGCTGAGCTTGCAGCCGATCGCGCCGGAGACGAGGTTGAACCCGAGGCCGATGGTACTGGCACGCAAATGATCGAGGCCGACGGGGTTGGCGCGTGTTTCGTGGGGGTTGGCTGTGCTGCTGACTGAATGACTGGCTGTGGCGTGCTCTCGCCCTCTGCCAACGTGGTTTGCTCCGGGCCGCGCGCCTCTTGCTGTAAAGGCGCCTCGTCATCAGCATTAGAGACCATGGGTGAAGCTGGCACCGACATGGATGCTGTATCTGCCTCATCAATCCAAGCAGCACTCGTCTGTATCCGTGGCACAGCAGCGTCCGTCATTGGCCCTCCATTTGTCGCCACCACAGCCGTGTCCTGGGCACGTGGAGTGCTTCTGCTCGACTGCGCCGCAACGGCACCTGGTCCTGGTGATGCTGCCGTGTCAACGTTCGATGCTGAAGTTACATCCAAAGCGGACTCTGGCCCGATCGATTCTTCTTCCTCGAGCCGTGCTGCAGGTGGCTCAGACAACACATCTTCCTCCTCCGCCATCGCCTCGGGCTCTGCTTCCACATGCCCCACACTCAACGCTTGGGCAGCGCGCTGCTGGTGCGCAGCTATTGCTGGCTCCAGGCGCTGTGCTGTTCCTGCGCACACGTCACAAAGCGGCTGGCCGGCAGCAAAGCATGTCACGGCGCGGGGATCTAGCAACTTGCCGAGCGCCCAGCTGCGGCACGCATTGCCCTCGACAAACTTTTCCATGCCTGGTGCTGGCCCACGTCTCACTGGTAGCCACAGCTCGGCAGTTCCACCCTGTTTATCGCGACCAGCCCGACCAAATGCCTAGCCCAAGCACATGTACACCATCAGCAAAACCAACAATTGATTTTTTTTTTTTTTTCAAATCCATACAGCCACACGACCGTTTGAGCAACAACGTACCTGGGCCAGCGTATAGACGTTGTAGCCGTTGCCATATTACAACACGCGGCGAATGGTGAGCAGATCCACACCCGTGCTGAGGCAGCTGGTGGCCACAATGACGTCGCATTCACCCCGTTGCCACTGTGCCACATGGTCCTTTTGCGCCTTCTCCTCCAGGTCGGTGTAGTAGGGCAAGGCCACGTAGCCGTATGCGTGCAGCTGGTCACACAGCAGCTTCACCTCGTTCATGGTGTCACAAAAGACCATCATGTGCACACGCTTCCCATTCGCCTGACACATGTTACGCTGCGTGTCCACAATGGCTTGCACATGCGATAAAAAGTTTGGCTGGTTTCCGTGAAGCACACGCAGCTGCAGATCGCGACGCATCGTCTCCAGACGGTACACCTTGCCCCCCACTTGCTGCCCCAGCTTTCGAAACAGATGCTCCTGGTCCCCGATGCAAAGTGTGCCCGTCAACGCCACGCGTTTGATGTTGGTCCATCCGCCAGAACCCACACTGGCTGCGACTTCGTCCATCACATCTCGGTAGCTGGCATCCGAGATGAGTGTGTGCGCCTCGTCCATCACCACGGTGCGGATGTGCTGAAAGCAG